AAGAAGGGAGGGGTGAGGGGAAGGGGTTTTAGGATTTGGATTTATTTCTTATTATTCTATTCTGATCGGTAATAAATTAATTTCCCCACGTCGAGTCTGTTTTGCCCATGATGGTAATTGGTGAGGGATCTCTCCCTGTCCTTACAAGCTGTTCATTATGTTTTCTCTGTCCTGCCCAGCTGAGGAGGGCAGTGACGGAGCGGCTTTGGGGGGCACCTGGCGCCCAGCCAGGGTCAGCCCCCCACACCAGTAATCCATGTGCCACCACTTTCACATAAAACATACATATGAATACTCTCCACCTTTAATTACTCTCCTGTAATTCTTTATCAAACCAATACGGGATCCTTTCTTCACTATTTCTACTATTTAAATACTGAAATATTAATACATAGTCGAGGAAGGGAATAGCTCTCAGTGTGGCAATATGAATACAGCTCCCGCTGCGCACCACTGCACCTACTGCCTTGAGCCGCCGGACCCTGCCCCGCCTGCCGCGGCCGCCGGGGAGGAGTAGGCTGTGCACCTAAGATCAGAGGTGCGGTCAGTCACCGCTAACCTGGTAGGAACAGGTCAGCGTACCACTGCGCGCAGACTGCGGACAAGCTGATCTGCAGGAGCTGAACCCCTCCAAGGGGCTTGTGTGATCGAGCGTCCTGAGGCTGCAGCAGCACCATCCCTTGCACCCACAGGGCACAAGCCTTCTGCTGCCAACAAAACCCCATCTCTCCTCTTTTCTTTCCTGCAGTGATGCTGTTTAACCCCAGGCTTGCAGTTTTTAACTCCATAAGGCAATTTGGAGCATGACTTGTACAAAATGGTGTCAGAGAAAACTGGCAGCACTTTAGATGATTTCAAATATTTTACTTTCAAGTATTATTTGTGCTGTACAAGCAAATGCAGCACCTAGTGACCGGCCGTACCACTGCTTCTGCCTCCTCATTTCTGCACTGGCTGTCTGACCACACAACCTGTGTTATCTCGCTGTGAGCTGAGCCGATGAACAGTGCTTATCTCCCCACCTATAGTCTGGGAAGAGAGGGCTTTCCAGAACGATGCTTCAGTGCTGAAACTCTCTCCTCCCGGGAGAGATCCCACTTCAGTCACGTCTCTCACTGAAGCTTTTAACTGCTTCTAAACGTTGATAATGTTGGCTGTACGTGCCATTGATATGAACACACTTTATTTGGTAATAGGATATCTAGGGACTTGAGTGCCTGCACAGTGGGGCATAATGTGCAGTTACTGCAAGAGTTAATTGTATCATTATTGTTAATCACCGTGTCATTGCCACAGTTTTTATTGGCATTTCCTTGTTAGTGATTGCATTAATATTTAAGTGACGTAAAGTGCACTGTTTCATGTTACCCATGGTAAAACCCTCTCGCAGCTCTGAACAGAATTTGTTTCATTAGAGTCTGAGTCTGGCCCTAAGCTAGAGCCAGGGTATGGCAGTGTGCTAAAAGTCAGTGCTTTGCCCTTCTCCAAGTTATAACAAATGAAATATAATTATAAGATATAATTGGCATGCCAAGACAGAGCTTTATTGTCATGCAACAATCCTAGTTTCCTACTCAAGTGCTTTCAATTTAATCTGAAAAGTTACTGACCTCATTTTTCTTTTGCAGCATTACGGATACATCTAGACACATCTTAGCAGTCTAATCAGGTAGCACAGCTTTTAGAAGCGTTGGCAGCATATTGCTATCCTGTGGCAGGTCATAATATCCTGCGGCTGATCAGCGACATCATGCAGTGCTCTGCTTTCTTCTTTTTTCCCATGCCATAATCAAAAGATCAGCAGAATTGTAAATCTCTCCATTTTTAAGTTGTTCATGGTTTTCCTCCCTTCCTCCACCTTCCCAGGTTTCCCACCATCTGTCCTTCAAAGCTGCTGTAATGACTGCAGAGCTGCACAGCCCCGAGCCCCTTTCTGGGGTAAATGGAAGAGCACCCAACATGGAGCTCTTGGGAGCTTCTCAAAGTGCTCCAAAGTCAACTGTAGGTATAGAAAGAGGCAGCCCAGAAGTCTTTTTTCTTTGGTTTCCATATCTTTGCGTATCCCCCTCTTAATTTCCCCTAGCTTGTGACCAATAACAGTATCTCCAAAAACAATGTCATGTTGTTCATTAACCTAATGAAGCTGTACAAGGCCAGGGTTAGTCAATACCCAGATAGAGGGTCTGGTAATACCAGACTGGCAAAAAGGAGATCATGAGAAATAAACAAAGGGTATTGGCTTGTGAAGAAGCTTGTACAGGCATGAGCATGATGAGGAAGGTTCAAGGCAGACCTTAGCATTGATCATGAGGCAAAGACAGTAAAACATCTCCTGTAAATTTTGAAAGAGGAAGCAAGATGAGCAGTAGGTTCACCATGACTGAGCAAGTTCTGTTTACACTAACACTTGATATTAGAACTCACTTCAGGAGAGGGCAGACCTGAGCACTGAGGTGGAGATGAAAGCTGACATCCCTTCAGAATAAGGGGAGAAAGGACAAGACAGAGGAGAAAGCCCAAGTATTCCCAAACACAGCTACTGCTCTGATTCTGAACTGGTCCTGAAGAGGTGATTTTCCTCCCTGCAGACAGATTAATTTCTGTTCCTACAGCCAGTATCTGAAAGCAGGGTCAAGGAACAGTTTCTTATGTTGACAAGATCAAGATGACCAAATTGGCTGCACTGCCTTAATCCTGTTGACATGAGCAACCGAAAGTCCTAGGACTTAACTTGATGTTTTTTATAAGAGTGATTCAGGGGCTTGCACTGACAGGCATTTTGCTTGTCTTAATTGTACTGGGTCCCTGCATTTATTCTTCTAGAATTAAGGGACTGAGCTGGTGAAATTATTTCTTGTCCATGTTTAGCAATAATACCTTTTATTTTTAAATGGTACATGCGCTTCCCACTTCCTTCCCTGTGATTGTTCAAAAGAAAACTACACATGAAAATATGAAGCTTTGGCCTCTCATGTCACCCAAACCCACCATTATCTAGGTTAGCGTTGGGCGCTTTGGGATGTCCAGCAATAGTGGTGCAGTGCAGCACTGGGATATCTGCTCAGCACTGTAATTCTTTAGCTGTATTTGTGCAGCAATGGGTGCAAACTCAGGAATCTCCCCTCAGTCCAGCAAGCGAGTCATGATAATGTTGCCTCCAAACCCAGATCGCTCCTTTATACAAAAGATAAAGAGTAGCAAAGACTTCCAAAAGGTTGGGGAACAACATCACTGCTATGCTCCCATCCACTGCAAGAAGGAAATAACTCTATTCTAGTCAGAAGGTACAATGAGAACAGCATTTGTTAAAAAGCAATGATTGCAAAGTCTTATAATCAACATTTGAAGAATGAAACATGGTAATACATGTTTGCTGTCCCCAGGTCCCCAAGCTGTAGCAAGTTCATTAGTGTGCATAGTTCTTTAGGGAGTTGTTTTTCACTGTTAATCATGCTTTGTATACAGAAGATGCACTTTGGGAAATGGAAGCGGCTGCTAATGGAAACATATTGCAGAGTGCTGGGATTCGCAGCCTACCTTTCCATTTGGCAACAGTCTCCGAATTGCCACGCGGTCCAAATGCCATCCGGAGTTCAGTCCTCCACCTTTGTGTCCGATGCGAATTTTTTCAATAACGTCACCAACATCCTCCAGCTACAGAAAAAAAGACAATAAGAGTAAGATTATGCAATGAACAACAGGTGACTTTTTGAGACACTACTTCTTTTAGATTATTTCCTATTTTTCCAGTCTGTATGAAGTCCCAGGGGAGCAAATATCAGCGTTGATGCCAATTATGCCCTAACTTGCATTTTAGCTAAAGGCTTCCCCTGAACTTCTGTTCCAAGAATGGAGAGAATCTTGCTCTGCACAAACTACTTACTGTATGAGTTAGGTTTGGTTGCACAGCAGCAATCCTGTATCTCAGGCTTCTCTGTATGATTGGGAATTAAGGTAATTTTTTAGAAATTGCAATGCTGCTGCATCTTAAATTTTTCTTTTTATAACCCTTTCCTTTTTGAACACTTATGTGCGCTCTTATAACACTGGAAGAATAGCTTTGAGGTCAAAGTACAATATTAACAGCTTAGCATTTTATATTATCTCTCTCCTGTTCTGCCACAGAATCCCAATACCAGTCTGAACAAGTCAACGGGACTATCTAATGAAGTGGCTACTGTTTTTATGCCTCACCTTATTACTCAAGTAATTTGTTACTAGTTCATTACTTTTAAGTCACTTCACTTCCAAAGGCTTGCACAGGAAAAATTATATTTGCTCCTAAGTAATAGCTTTTGGTTATTTCAGTGCAAGCTTTTGTATAGATGGCCTTTAAAAAAACAAGGCTGGCTGTAAACCTCCTTTACATGTAGGAGAAGCACACCTAGCTGTCTTTCTGTCCACAGGGACTTGGAGTGTTTTTTTCTTGGAAACATGAGAAAACTGAACATCTCAGTTTGCACCCCTGGAGACTACTCCCTTCTTCTCTTCCCAGATGACAGAATTGGCCCATACTGAAGAAAAGACATCAGTAATTCTAGGAGACTCCTCAACTCAATAAGACTGACTGCATAACTCAAGGAGTTCACACTCCGAACGAATTGGATTTGACTTCACCAGCCCTGCCCTGACTTTAGACAGCATAAGCATCAATTGTAAAATAACTAAATGATCCAAACTCCTTTCTAAAAGTCACGCATGCACAAAAGTGTACACTGGAGGAAAATTATTTTCTTCCTCTTTTGTCCTGTCCAAATAGTCAACTTTTAATGAGGTTTTTAATCAATACATAACAATAAAGTGATGCTTGACCACTAAAGATTCATGTTAAAGAAGAAGAGGTCTTCACTCTGCTGCATGCATCTCCAACAAATCATCACTTGGGAGCATAGCTGAGACCAGCCCCTAATCTTTTTTTGCCTCTTTTGCAAAATACAAAATGGTAGGGGCAGTTAAAAACACTAAACCAAATGGGCAATTCTCAGTTTGTGTTTCCTGAGGTCCCCAAATTGTTTTTAAGGTCTGTTGAACTCCAAATTATGGCTCTACACAAGTAAGTGAAGGAAGAATATATTTTGCTTCATCCCCATCTCCTGCAGGAAAAGCAACTGGTGAAGAGAGAATGAGGTTTGGGGACAGGTTAATATGATGTTATAAATCTGAAGAACAAACTGCATTTTCCCTCACTTCATCTGAGAAAAGTACTGATGTTTCAGATTCTACCAAACCCAAAATAAATCTTCTGGAATAAAGAAATAACAATAACACTCGGTTTAAGATTTATACCTATGGATTAATGCAACCTCTGTTATGAAAAACTGTGTGGAAACTGCACTGAAATAAGTCTTAGTCTTTGTTTTTAAGGAATCACACTGGGGGCTTATTTTATGATTCATGCTAGGTAACAACAATGTAGGCTGGAAACATTTTAACTTGTTAAAAAGTTTGGTTTAAGATTTGCCTTCAATTATGTTACTCAGACAAACAAAACTCAAAACACAGAGAAGTTTGTGCCATCCTCTACATCCAGGGAGGGAAGATGAGGACATGAAGCAGTACCAAAAGGACAGCCCAGAGCAGGAGTGCTTGTATTTTTGCCTCTCACAACTTCTCAGCAGTAACAATGCATTATGAGTAGGAATTGCTGAATACTGTAGATGTAAATGAGGTAACGCATTTATGTGCACTGGTTTAGTATTTGCATACAGTTGTGCAAACACTTCGGAAAATATTTTATAAGATCTTTCAAAAAGTTAGCCTCAGGTATTAAAAAAATCATGGTGCCTGCAGCAAAGTAACAACCTCTGTCTGAGGACACAGAGAAACAGAGCATGATGCTTAGGTTTAGAAAAAATGAACAGACCATACCCCAAATGAAGTGCTACACAGGTAGTGAGCACCATGGACCAGATCCTTCAGCATAATTGGCTGAAACAGGAACATGAAAGGATGCATAGGGACCTTAAACACAAGGCAACTAGTTTCAGCAATACTGCAAGCATTTATTTCCTGTTACCTGTCAAAGTATTGCAAATATTGCAAACTGCAAGAGAAAGCAAATATGTGAGCAAATAAGAGTGATAAGGACAGGTACGCGTTAGATCTGGCATGCATGGAGACCGATAGCCTCTTTTTATGAAGTATGGTCTAAGAAATAGAAGATGTAAAGACCTTCCAAAGTGGCTCTCAACTTCACCTGGAAGGGCAAGTCTCCGTGTCCGTGTTTTGGTACATCTCAGCTCCATGATAAAATTGCACCAGGCAATAAAGGCTTAACACAGCATTAGGCCACAGGGACACTGCATGTTGATACCTTTGAGTTGCTACTAACTGGAACTCAGTGAGAAAAGATTTGACCCAGTAGACAGTAAGCCTGTTGCAGAACAGAGTTTTGAACCCACATTCTTCGATTAAAAGAGCTGAATGGCTTTCCCTAAAACAGGAAAAGTTCTCACTTCATTTTATCTTCTTAATCGTAGAATTGTGGAATCTTTGGGTTGGAAGGGACCTTTCAAGGCCATCTAGTCCAACCCCCTGCAGTGAGCAGGGACATCTGCAACCAGAGCAGGGTGCTCAGAGCCCCGTCCAGCCTGACCTGGGATGTTTCCAGGGATGGGGCATCCACCACCTCTTGGGGCAACCTGGGACAGGGGTTCACCTCCCTCAGTGTGAAAAATTTCTTCCATCTATCTAGTCTGAATCTGCCCTCTCTTAGTTAAAAACCATCACCCCTTCTCCTACGGCAACAGGCCCTGCCAAAAAGTCTGTCCCCATCTTTCTCCTCAGCCCCTCTCAGCCCTGGCAGCTGCAGGAAGGTCTCCCTGGAGCCTTCTCTGCTCCAGGCTGAGCCCCCCCAGCTCTCCCAGCCTGTCCTCCCAGCAGAGGGGTTCCAGCCCTCGGAGCATTGCTGGGGCCTCCTCTGGCCCCGCTCCAGCAGGTCCATGTCTCTCCCGTGCCGACGGCTCCAGCGGTGGAGGGGCAGAATCCCCCCCTCCCCCTGCTGGCCACGTGTCTTTGGGGGCAGCCCAGGACACGGTTGGCTTCTGGGCTGGGAGTGCACATTGCCGGCTCGTGTCCAGCTTTTCATCCCCCAGGACCCCCAAGTCCCTCTTGGCAGGGCTGCTCTCCATCCCTTCGTTCCCCAGCCTGTGCTGATACCGGGGGATGCCCCGACCCAGGTGGAATATCCCCTTAGGGCAACCTCAGATGCGAGTGAGCATCTTTGATCTTACCTCCACAATGAACTGATTCACTGAGTTCCTTTCAAAATACATCCTTTGCTCTCTCTTGTTGAGGCACAGGGATTTCTGTTGAGTGCAGATCCCATCGCTTCCATAGAGAACAATGAAGACATCTGCACTCGTGCCAGCTCCAAAGATGTCGCTGGTGTAGACTGTGATCTCATAAGGAACAACTGATTCAGGACATGGCAGAAAATGAAAACGAACCAACAAAAGTTAGTAAGCAATATAACAATGTTCCTAAGAATATTTTAATGAAACAAAATCTAGATTAGAAAACTCAACAGTTAAAGAGGACAGGATAGGGTTCACACACTTGTGGTCATTTAGTTATCAAGCTGGTCAGTACTATGAGAATCCAGAGGAATTTCCTTTAACCCTATAAGGCCAATTGACCTTCGTGCATGTTCATTTACTGAGATTTTGGGGTTAATCACACGATCAGAAAGCACTCAGTATATTTATGCCTGCCATCTAAAGTTATTGAAAGAGGATTTACTTAAACAGCTCAAGTCTTAAAGCAAAACATGAATTCACAAATTTTTGAGCAACTAGGCAGATGGATGACACTAAACCAACTGGAGGCAGTATATAAATATTCAAGCTGATAGCCTTATTGATAAAAAAAATCTCCTATTATTTTCATTACTTACTGAGCAACAAAAGTCCATCATAAGGAAAAGAAATGAAACCCTCTTCTCTCCACTCTGATCTAGTTTTCTCTTAGTACCACCTTCTCCTTAACACCAAGGCAAACAGGTTAAATTACTACCAGATCAATGGTGAAAGCAGAACAGTATGGATCAAGCCCCTAAATACTTCCTTATTTTGTTTCCTTGGTTTCTCTAGAATGCCCCATGACCCCAAAATCTGATGTCTCCTTTTGTTCTTTTCTATCTTCACAGCTTCTCAGTCCTGAGTCCTCCGGGAGCATGACTCGGACTTGCTCAGGGAAAAGACTGATCCAGGAATAAGTCTGGGGCTCTGTTCCTGGCTCTGTTACAGATTTGCTGGATATCCTTAGTCAAGTCACTTTACACCTCAGTTTCCAAGTTTAGATGGTGTTTAACTCACATGGCAAGAGACCTGTGTTCAGATATCTGCACATCAAATACGTGTGTACATCTCCAGATATAATCAGTAAAGTCAGTGGAGTTTGGAGTAAGAGTCAGACAGGCAAATGCAGACATCTTCCTTGGGGTCAGCTGAATCCAAATCCATCATCTGTGAATGACCAAACTTCTGTTGATGATAATGGGAGATCAGACACTCCACTGTCATGAGGACATGTAAATACAGGTGTGCCATCTGGCAGACTGAATCCCATCCCTATCTCTTTCAAATCCTTTCTGAAATCTATAGATGAAAAACGCCAGGTAAAACTTGGGCACCACTGGTAAACTGCAGGGACTTCCCCAGCCACAAGCAGACACAATCCCTGTAGTCCACATCGCTACCAATAAGCACAGCCTTTGACACCCAGCGCTACCACCAGGATCAGCTCCTGGCCATCCCTCTCCCGTACACCCCCCACCCAGCTTTCACCATTTCCCATCCCTCACCACAATCTTCTCAGCTGCTCATCATCTGCATCCTCCTACCCTGCATCAACTTCAGGCATCTTTGCTATTTACACTACAGTACTTTGTGCTATCCTTCAGATTCTGCATCTCTGTTAGGGTAGAGAGAAGGTTTCTGGCACCGTGTCTGTTGCTTTTGGAGTGACTCTGATTATGCGTATCACAGACTAATCATTCATTAAAAATCCAGGCTCTCTAATACATCTCTCAGGAGAACAGAGATGAAGTTTTCTTCTACAGAGAGTCAGCCTGGAGGTACTTAATATTCTTTCTGCCCAACTCAATGAAATCTGCTCTGCTGTGCTGCAGGTAAACAAGAATAGTTTCTCCGATATGTAAGAAGGGGGGGGGGGGAAAAATCCTGGAGACCAAAAATCACATGCTATGCATTATGAATTTAAAATTATTTTCTCTGCTGAAATCCATGGCACTTGCTCTTGTTGCTTGAATATTAACGTCAGCTTACAACTGAATCAGCAAAGCAGCACTGTAACAAGGTCACTAGCAGCACAACTTTCAGCTGTCAGACTCCCATTTCATTTACATGGCGCTTTTAAAGTTGTATCCCCACAGGCATGATTTTAATTGGACCGCCGATGACATGTTTTCATCGTTTGTTTGGCGTGAAACAATTCTGGCACGAGTCATCATAAAACAAATCAAATCATTTTTGTTACCTCTGGCAAACTGAACCCCCCAGGTTAATAGTTAGGAAACCAGAATGCGGTAAGTAGCACAGTGGGAATGGTTTAAATGGTGAAACAGCCTAAGCTGACACTGAGTCTGGTGCTACATTTTTGCCAGAGAGGCCTGGCTATTTTCAGGCTGAATGTGGACAGCTGACAAAATCAGGTTTACACAACCTATGTACTGCCAGAAACTCTTACATCATTGTAATATACAGGGACATCAATAAATTATATAGTCCACATCTGCATCAAAATATAGATCAACTGGGATAAAATGGGAAAACCTGATGAGAAGCACATACAAGGTCTCTGGGTTATATTCACTCCTATGAACGTATTCACTGTATCTATCTACAAATTTATTTTTTCAAACATAAAGACTCTTATGTCTCCCTGTTGACTGACAAAAGTGATGAAGGGAGCAAAGAGTATCCGTTCCTCTGCTCCAGACAGTTTAGGTAAAGAAAGCAAGACATGAGAAATAATGGGGGAGGCACAAAGAGATGACGCTGGCAGGCCCTGAGAGAAGAAAAATGATTTTAGCTTATAGACTGGATGATATGAGGATCTGGACATTGGAGGGTAAGGCCAGCCAGTGTGAAAGAGACTTTTACCATGAACCACAGTGTTGACAGTAAAAAAGAAGGTGCCAAAACAGCTGATAGTCTTCTGTGTGGTTATTCTCACAACTACTTATGAACAAGGAAATTGAGGCAGAAAAAGAAAGATTGGACAGCTCTAACTTTTGATGTCTAAATAAGGAACTGCAGGAGGTAAGGCTTTTGGTACCATCAACACATACAGTGAGGGATGCAGTGAGATATTTTTGGTGTGAAAAACTTATCACTTGCCCAGAGTGACCTAGGAAGCACCTGGCAGGGCATGGGGTGTAAATCAACTCTGAGGTTCCAGACCTCATCCCTAATTGTGTCATCCAAGCTAGTGAAGGGAAAAGGCAATTTTGATAGTCCCCTGAAGGTGGGTCAGGAAATATTTGTCGACAAGTTGAAATGAGGCAGATCAGGGAGGGACAAGTCAAATAAGTCCCAGGGCTGTGAGTTCCCTGCACAGGGTCAAGGACGCACATGTGAAAAGGGAAAG